AACTACGTAAGCTTACGTCGCTGTGGAAGAACGCCAGGCATAGGGTAGGGGAGAATGGGAAACCGAGGCTGTCTGTACATTAATGGATTCATTTTCGGGATCGATGGCCTGATTCTGGAACTGAGAACAACTTAATTGAAATAGTTTAGGTGGCCCACTCACTGCTACTAGAAAATGTTGGTGCAATCAGTAGAACAGCATGAGGTCACGCTACTGCCTGCAATCACATTGGTCAAGGCCGCCCACACGAGTAAGCTATAAAACGGAAGAAGTTTAAACAAGGCCATGTAGACCATTGCAACTTCTGGCCTCTACCCAAATTAATTACACTAATAGTAAGAATATCTAATTAAACGTAATTTCTTTGACCTATCCATCATTCAAGAAGGAACTGTAACAAAGCATGATTCGATCATTTACGGAAGACCACAAGTTCTAGTAGACAGTAAATTCGTGAACAACAAATATTTTTGGCGTCTATCTGTAACGGATTCTAACTAAACGCGAGCGCAATTTCCAAACAGTCGTGTTACCCTTCGGGCTTGTATGAGGGGTGAGGACGCTAAGTCTGAAATTGCGGACAAAATAAATCAAGCAAGTTCTGGTCCGCAGTTCACTTGTTCAACTAACTTGTTCTAATGAAATAAATAATCTTTCCAGTAAATGAATGATCTTTTTATTACTTTTGTACATCATTGTAGTAAATTCCCTGTATTTCTTAAGAAAATCTACGTTAGCATGGAAAATGCTTTCGTGCGCTAAGTTCTTGGAAGTGTACTCTCCTCGTTCGCATACTATTCTTGTAGTGACCTCTCGACGGCAGATTTCAGTCCTTCGCACAAGAGCTTCTTGATCTACATCGTATATGTTATCCCGTAACCTCTTCCTTGTCTATATATCCCGACTACTAGTTATTCCATTTCTACCCGTGATGCATATTGATTTGAAAGTTGTCTATCGATATAAACCGGTAAGTCGCAACATCGTGCTTGAGCTCATAAAAGGATCTTCAGATCTTTGCCCAGTGGTGCTGCATATGGTGCCTCTCCCTTTCTTGACACAACTGCTCCATTGTGGTTGTTGGCGACGCTCATCAGCCTGAACTAAGCATAGACTGTCACGAAAAAAATGTGCCCGGAACTGTTAAGGGTCTGAGCATATCATATTCTAATAGTTTCAATCTATCAGAGCACTGCGTCCTGACTGTCTCGAAAGCATTTGAAACTACCAGATTTATTTTCAGATAATTTAAGACTATTAAGTTTAGAACTAGCCTTTATAATATATGCGTAAGACCTAGTCTCGAATACTGCTCGCCTCTACTTAGTATTCTGCGCGCTAGCGAACGGTAGAAAAAGTCGGTCCAGCACTTCTTCACTGAAAGAGTTTACTCTTCAGAACACCAAAACCTGTCCTACTAACAACGTTGTGAACTGGCTAACCTCGATCCTTTGTGGCTTCGCAGATTACAGAAGGGACTATTTTTACTGTTTACGCTGTAACAAAACGATCGTGCCTTTAATCCCCTTAGTGCCCTGAGGCAGCTCCACCACTCTCGGCGCGCCAATCATCGAGATGTCTTTTTTATTTCTTCCTATGGCACGCAAAGTTAAATACCGACAATTTTTTTTTCAATAAAAACAGTAGCAATCTGGAATACGCTACCCAGAATTACTAGAACTCAGCAAAGCTATCACTAGTTCTCTAGATTCAATACAAATTTTACAAAATTTGGATGCTGATTCGGTGGAATCTCTCTTTCACTCTGATGGCGTTCGTGGAGTTTGAACGCTGTCAGGCTTCATGCTGAGGACAGTGATGCTGAATCTGCAGCCCGCGATCGTCTAATCCTTCAGCCGACAGCGAGAAACCGTTCGCCGACCCACATTCGTCTGGTGCAGAACTTCGAAACCATAACACCCAAGGGAGACTGAGAGCACTGTGTTCCTGTGTCAACCTTTCCCCGTCCCGAAATTCAGTCACACAACGAGTTGCAGTTTTTCTTTCTCCTAAATTGTCAGCTTGGTCTATTACTGTACATATGTTTCGCTAGTGTTTTACCTTTGAAGACTGTTTTTTTT